GCCCCCGCCCCCGCCGCTGCTCCCCAGAGGTGGCTGCATGTCCGCGGGTGCCGGCCGGGGTTCCTGTCGCTAGGGGCCGCCACCCAGCCAGAAGGCTCCAGAGGCAGAGCTCCGCGGAGTGGCGCTAGGGGGCGCTGTGCTACTGGGAGGAGTGGGATCGACTCAGTTGGGGGCACTAACCCCCCACCCCAGTGTCCCTGCACAGTGCCAGGGGGCAGGGGGTGACAGCAGGTGCACCCACACCCCAACCTTCCCGCCCTCTGATGCACAGGGTGGAGGCATCAGCAGGGACCAGGGACCACCGGAGCTTTCAGGCTTACTGGCCTGGCTGCATCTGTGCAGTTCACCTGCCTTTTCCTCTGCGCTGTTCTGTCTGAATGGTACAGACACCTCCCCCGCTCCCGCAATTCCCCCAGCTCCAGGCTGGCTCCCGATGGCTCCTTGGCTGATGTCCATGCAGGGACCTCGGCATCAGGCCTGCGGAAAGGTGTGACTCTCCTGCCCTCTACTGGCTGCAGCGTGAAGCGTTGACAAGCCCGGCTAGCCCCTCGGCTCAGTAGGGAGGTAGGGGCGAGGCTGCCCTCCGGCCTCACTGCCAGCCGCTCACAATAGCTGATGAGCCTGAGATGCATGTGGACATGGGCTGTGGGATATGCAAGGCACCCTCTAAGCAGGGGCTCTAGGCAGAAAGGGGCCCAGGCTGTAAAATTTCTCTTGGAGCCAGTCAACTAAGGTTCAGAAGTGTTGGGAAGCAACTCTACACACTCCCAGGCAGCAGCAGGGCCGCTGTGCCATCATGGAGAGCTTGCTGGATGGAGAGCCCTGCGAGCATGGCTGAGTGTCCAGAGCAGCAGCACTTTCCGCTTCTCACCGAGCCAGCGGGACAGAGCCAGGTAATCTACGGGATATAATTTTCTTTCCATTTCCCCCTTTGCATCCTTCCCACCATGCAGCTCTGTGCAGAATAATAATGTTTTGCCCTTCTAGAGCCCCGCTCCCCCACCCCTGTCCAGCATCTCAATGAGCTTCATACATGCTATTTAAGCCATGAGATCTCCTGCCAAGAAGATAAATATATTATCCTTACAGATGGGAAAATGGAAGGGAACAAGAGAGGCCTTAAGGCAGGGGTGGGCAAGATAAGTCTGAATCTGTCCCGCCAAGTCTTTTAATCTGCCCCACGACTCACCCCACTGGACCCACAGGCCGGGAGCACACCCAAGGCTCAGAGCAGCTGGCTGCTCCATCTGCATCTCTGTGCCGGGGGGAAGCTTTGACACTGCAAACCCCCTCCTTCACCTAAACTCCCTCTCAGACCCCAAACTGTCTTCTTCATCCCAGTCCTCTACCTCAAGCTCCTTTCTGCACCCAACCTCCGTCCCAGACCTCACAACCCTTCCGAAGAAAAGTGCAGCCCTTGACCACGTACCAAACTTTTGGAGTGCCTCCCCCCACGAAAAATTATTGCCCACTCTGGCTTAGGGTCACAGAACAAGTTGATGGTCAGGGTAAGACACAAATCCTAGTGTTCTGAACCCCAGACCTGTGTTTTTAGCACTAAACCACATTTCCAAAGCTCTGAAAGTAAGTGGGGGGCTGGTATGGAAATTCAGCTCTCCAGTGCACTACAGCGTATAAACCCACGGGCACTAATTCTGATTTCACTCCAGTTATAGTCCAGGGGGAGATGGCACTGGCCTCTCACTTATTTACGATAGCGTAAGTGAGCTCAGAAGCAGGCCTGTGGATATACTCCAGGGGGAGATGCCACTGGCCTCTCACTTACTTACGCTAGCGTAAGTGAGCTCAGAAGCAGGCCTGTGGTGTTCAGCCAGAACCGAAGAGTGGGGATTGGGGGATGGAAAAGGGATGCGTGGAGGTGTCGAAGAGTAACAAAGAAACCTCTGCAGTTTCATTCACCAAGTGTTTAACTTGAACGTCAGCACAGAAACCAGATTCCAGGTGGGTTTACAGAGAGAAGGCAAGTTGCCCAGCTGCTCTACTCTCTCCTCAGCAGTTCTCAGTCTGTCTTTCTGCACGTGCCATGCTAATCAGTTACGCACATGTGCAGACTGAGAGCATTAGTTGCAACAATGTCATATTTTGCCTGGTCCTAGACTCTTCTAGCTAATAGAAGCAAGGCTGTCACCTGGAGGTCTAATTAATTCACTTGCAATAAACACATCAATGACAGAGCATCTAGCCATGGGTTTCCATGGCCCTCATTAGTACAGGATCTCAGGGCTTTCATTAATGCCTGTGTCACTGAAACAACATGCTGTGTAGAAGAGCATTTCTAACCAAATGCCTGGAGACCACCAGCTACAGGACAATCTGTATGATGAAGAGAGTTGGTTTCTCTCCCTCCACTTTGAGAAGCCTCAGCTAGAGGACTATTCTCCAGCATAGTTCCACTCTATGCACCAGGTGGCATTAGGAAACTAAGCAGAGCTGTCCCGAGAGTCCCCCAGGATAATGAGCTTGGACATCTGTACAGTCCAAGCCCCCAGACCTCAGCATGAGATGTGTGCAGACTATCTGTAATACCGGGGCAGGAATGGGGGAGGAGGAGGAGGAACCACATCCCCAGAAATCTGGGCTCAAAACAACTAAAAACAAAAACCAGGCGTGGGAGTAACATTACAAATAAAAAATCAGGGATCAAGGGGAACGTGGAGCAGAGCTTGCTTTCTTCATCACCATGACTGCACCCGCTGCTCCTCAAAGGTGTCTAGGAAGCCAGGAATTCTGTTCCAGGGACATGACTAAACAAGGGGTCAGAAAAAGGCCCCGGAGTTGCAGAGAACCATTCCATCCAGCTTCCTCCTCCTGAAGCTGACGCCTGGGGGTGGCAGGAGGGGCTTCCAACTGAGGAAACCTCAGCCCTATAAAAATAGGATTTTCCCTCTTGCATGGAAAAGACAGAAATGCTTAGGAGCGCAGGCTGGCGAAAAGATGTTCCATGCTAGCAAACCCACCATTCTCCAGTAGAGGGCAGTAGTACATACACACACAGCTGTGCTAAGGAGGGTTTTTTTAAGGAGTTTGGCAAACACCTGTCAAGGATGGTCTAGATATATTTGGTCCTACCTCAGCACAGGGAGCTGGTCTGCCTCTTGAGGTCCCTCCCCCCAGCCTACAATTTGCACCACACAGACTTTTCATGAGCTCCAGGTAGGATCTAATTCCCCAGGATGGGAATGTTTCCCCCTACACTTGGCTTTCTTGACCAAGGGCTCTTGTGCTTATAGACTACAATGGGAGTTTGGCTGTTTACGACAGTGCATTTCAAAATGGGCTCTGTGGCTTGACGAATTCCACCTTCTCTTGCTATCCGTTCAGTTTGAGGTCCGATCCTGCAAGGTGCTGAGCGCTCTCAATTCTGATGTCAAATAGATGAAAGGAGCTTGGCGCCTCACAGGATTAGGACCTCAAATGACAGTGGTCTGGCTGCTCTCTCTTCTACCACCGACTTGTCCAGCCACTGCATGGCACTGCAGAACTGTGGGCACATGGCCATTTGTTTGGCTGTCACAATGGGGGGGTAATCCGCAGACAACTCTTCTTGTACCCCTCCATCTTTGTTCACCCCCTGGGGCCCAGCCCTGGTGAATGGCAAATTGTACCCTGTTTATGTAACCCAAGCTGGGAACATGCAGGGCTTTGTCTCCCTCTAGTGGCTAGTTCACACAAGGGGTTTCAGAGTAATGGGGACGAGGAACCAGAATCTCACCCAGTAGAGGCCAGGATTTCAGCCATGCTCAGCACCCAGCGGGTTCCATGCTGACACGTCCCGTCAGAGCACAGTGATGTGCTGAAAACCTGGTGACTTGTTTAAATGCCTACACGGCAGCTGAGGTCTTCTGACAATTGTGGCCTTCGTCCTTCCGCGCCAGCGGGCAAAGTTCCCATTGAACTGCCCGGGTCCCAAATTTCAGTCTTGCCCAGCTTACATCTACACTTCTCATGGTTTTCTTGGTGGCCCTTACGTCAGTGTTGAGTTCCTCCAAGTCATTTCACCAGTGGTGTGTCCCTCAGCCCCCGGTGCCGGCAGCTCTGACCCTGTGGCTTATAAGCCTTTGGAAGCAGCCAGCCTCTGCACGTCAAGGCTGTTTCAACTTAACTCTGATCATAACATTTATCATTAAAAATAAATTTATCTTGGCTTCATGTGGCCTGGAAATCTACCGAGAAGTGATTCAATGGGCTTGTCATACCTCAGTGTTAGCCACGCTGAGCTGAACAACTGGATATTCTCCAAGTCCAGCAACTCATTTGCTGCAGCTGGAGCTGGGAATGTACAGTGGCTCTGACATTTAATTTAGAATCCAACATACCTTGACATAAACCCTTAATACAATAGCGTGGTGGGGGGGGGGAGTAAGGCCAATCGACAGAATGGATTTTTTTCACTTGTGCTTTGTCAACAGTTACTGAGTATGACAGGCTGCAGTGAAAGAGGGATGGGCAAAGGACAGTGTAAGAGGGTGGTGCGCACGTGCACATTTAGCTTTGCAGGTGGGTGTGCGAGGCTGCTCAGGGTGGGCATTTGTGCCCTATGCAGCTTAAGACAAGAGCCATGTCAGTGCACTGCATATGGGCTTGCACTGTGTGGTTTGGGGATTATGCACTCATGACTGGGGGAAGGGGGAACTGTGCAGTTGTGTCTGCAGAAAAGACTCCCTGAGCCAAGCTGTTGGTCTGCAAATGACATTAATTGGTGTAAATGAGGCTGCCTGTGCCTGGAGTTGTGTGTTTATGTTGAGAATATTTAATGTACTTTTTATGCATATGTACACACAATGTCACACCATTTGGGCATATCTCGGTATGGTTCTGTGCTGTGGTAGTGTGTGTGTTTATGAAAGATCCTTGTGTCATGCCCATTTGTCCATAAAGCAATGCTTACTGGTGCAAGTGTTTGGTGTTTCCTGTGTGGCATGTGCCTGGTGCTGAGCATATGTTGTTGTGATGATGGTGTGCCCTGTCTTTCTCCTTCCAACTGTGTGGCATGTGTCTGGTGCTGAGCATATGTTGTGATGATGGTGTGCCCTGTCTTTCTCCTTCCAATGTGTGTGTTTGCACAGGGATCCAGGGTGCTTTGGCTCTACTGCTGCTGGGCTGAGTGCAGACATTGCTGTGCACAGCAATGCAGAGAGGGCGGTTATGGGGTCCAAAGATCATCCCAAAGCAATGTTCCCTCTAATCTTTTCCATCCACATGTGGAATATTTTTTTATGTGCACCGAAGCATGTGAGAGTGTGCACCAAGAGTAGAAACCATACCTAGCTGTGGGCGTTCTGCTAATCAGAGTGTGCACCAAGAATAGAAACCATACCTAGCTGTGGGCGTTCTGCTAATCAGATAGGCAGCATTTGAATTTCTCCTGAGCAGCCCCACAAACACCCAACTTACAGGGAACACTGTCCCAAACTCAGATTAGATTTTCCCTTGGGCTTCAAACAGCTCTGGGTCATCCCCCTCCGCCCCTCCCGCACCATTGCTTTCCTTGTAAGTTGCCCCCTGTGCATCCCTGTAATACCCCAAGGCAGGTTCATTCCAGCAGGCCAGAAATCTCATATGCACAGGCTCTTTAAAGGACAGCTTGCAAACCCAGCACAGTCCTCCATACACCAGAGCTTCTTGTCTCATCTTCCGATTGCAAGGCCTTCCAGGCAGGGACCATCTTGTCATTGCTTGTTTGTGCAGTGTCCGGTGTCTCAGCCACCTCCTAACTGCAGCCGAATCTGCAAGGCCACACGCAAGGCAAGGCCATCACAGCCCACCACAGGGGCTGCTAACAATCATCTCTCTATTTACACCCCCATCCCCTTTTATGCAGCGCTGGTTGAAATGCTTGTTAGTCTTGGCTGCTCCCTGGTACCGCATTAGG